TTGATCATTTTTCCAAAGTATAGGGGCATGATTGATGTAAAAAATAATAGATGAGCAATGTTTGATAAAACGACATAGTAGAAAAGCATATTATACATATAACCTTAAAAAATTAGGGTTCATATATTTGTATGGCCTGAACTTTAAACATAATAAACATCCTCGCCAATTTTTTCGATCTATAACATCATGACCTAAACTATACATAAAAGTTAAGAACTTGGCCAAACTCAATGTTTGACCGTTATCTTTGACGGTCAAACGTGTTGACTAACAGTCGATGCGCCACGTCATTGCCAAGTCAACACCTTTCACTTAAAAAATTAAATATTTTCCACCTATAAAAACTGGATATTTTATTAAAAATAAAATACTTTAAATAAAAATTTTAAAACAAATGAGTGTTATGTGGAAAATTAATTAGAAATTACTGAAAATAAATGGTGAAATTTTATATATTTTTATTTTTATAAATTGTTTTTTTCATTTTTTGATTCTTTTTCATATTTGTGGAAAATTTGAAGATAAATATTATGTGGAAAATTAATTTGGACTTAGTGAAAATAAATTATGGGAAACTTTTTATTTATTTATTTATTTTCAGTGTAGATTTATTTTAAATTTATTTCTTTGAATTCTATGTTCAGATTTTTTTAAAATTTGAAAATAGATATGATTTTTAAAATTAATTTGAAATTAGTGAAAATAAATGGTTGAAAATTTTTAGTTTTGATTTTATCTGTTCATATTTGTGAAAAATTAGAAAATGGGTATTATGTTGAAGAATAATATGAAATTAGTGAAATTAAATGGTGGAATTTTTAAAAAAAAAACATCATTTAAATAATTATGGGAGATGTAAGGGGACCCGAAATTACTTTTTCCTTCCTTTATTTTATTTATTTATTTGGTTAAAAAGTAAAAAGAAAAATGGTAATAGTTTGAAAATATATCTAAAAAAAATGAAATGTGCTGACTTGGTAAAGACGTGGCGCGTTAACCGTTAGTCAACGCGTTTGACCGTCAAAGATAACGGTCAAACATCGAGTTTGGCCAATTTCATAACTTTGATGTATAGTTTGAACCATAATGTTATAGATCGAAAAGATTGGCCAATATGTTTATTATGTGCAAAGTTCAGCCGTACAAATATATTAACCAAAAAATTATATAATAGTATTGTTCTGAGAAATCAGTAGAACTTATGTACAAATAGTTAATGCACACATTTCCATTTCCTTTCGTCAATCTAAACTCCACTAGCTTTTCACCCGGCCCGTTGGCCGGATTACTGTATGTTACCCACTTGTGGAATGGGAGAGAAAGCAAGTGAGAGTGAAGGGATTGAGATTCCACTTGATTAGGACCGACCCACTAATCCGATTCTTCCCGACCCGCCCCAACCTAAAGGGCCAGAAAGAGTCAATAAGAAAATACGAACGAGGAGGATTAGTCATATATCTTGACTCTTCAGAAGTGGGTCAAACAGGATCAAGGTTGGGTGAGCGCAATTTTTAGCGCTAAGCAGAGTTTTGGGTTGAATAACCTTACTTAGGCCTAGAAATTGGTGATGATGCAGACTGCATTTTTTATTATACCATCATCAATCATCATTGAATTAGTCCTGGGCATCCCTCCTTGTTGTCGGTCTGAATTCTAATGATGGCTTAATTCCTTGAACCAGCCATATCAGCGAGTTGTCATCTCGAGCATGATTTGCCTATGTACAAATGATACAATTAGAGTATGAAACTGAATTCAAAGAAAAGTAAAAGAGAATTCTATCACATGCCAATAAATACACACATAATAGTTGAAGCTAAGTGAAAGTCATTACTCGCACATCAATTCTCAAAAATTACAGACTAAACAATGGCTAGAATGGCACTGAAACTACCAAGAATCATGGATGAAACAACTTGTCAAATTAAATAATCCTTATACTGAAACTACCTTCTAACTTGAAAGAAGACATGATCACAGTTCATAGCTCTCTTCTCACTATGAATTGGTTGCAGCTCGTCCTTATCACTGCCTCCCAAGCTCAATTCAAACAGAATAGAGACCGTTATGTAAGATAACCATATCCTTACTGATCATAATTCCTTTCTTCACTCCATTTTTGTCGGAGAAAAGAGTTATCCCCCTCTCCTGCATTTCCCTTTCCCCCTCTCTTCTCCCTCTTCTTCACAAACCGATCCCTAAACCAGCAACAACAACACAAAAATAGCCTTCGCCTCTGCCATCTCCATCTACTGAACGCGTTGATGGCAAGACAGGACTGCAGAAGCAAAATTTTCTAAAATCAAACTAAATTTTTTGAAGGAGACTCAACCACGAAAAAAGAGTAAAGCAACAATGCTAATAGTTCAGATGGTTGGTTTTGATGTTATACGTTGCTTTTGTTCTGGTCTCCAGTATATCAACGGCAACAGAGATGTTTCCTCCAATCATCTTTAGTGCACGATTTAGAAGCAAGTCCTCCTGTTTGTGTCAAACGGAAACATTCATGGGTTCTCAACTCTCCTGTTAGTGTAAATGCAGCAGCATCAAAGAAGTTTGACAACACAGCAAGCACCCACGTAAAATGATACAATGCAGTAGGTGATATGTGTCTCGAAGGTTTTGAGTTACTAAAGTTCATGTTAAAAATAAACATGAATTAAAATGGATTATTCTATTAAGCAAACATCTCCTCTAATCATACAAAGATCAGATATCCAATTCACAAACAATTAAGCCATAAAAAATCATCACACATCCACCACCTTTGATTGCCTAAATTTGGTTGTTCGCAAAGTTATGGACTCTTAAGGGTAACGTTCATGGGTTGTCTGTTTCATAACTCTAGAGAGCACAGTAAGCAGCCACCAGCCAGACACAGTGCGGTAGGCGAATATGATTCTCAATTCACAATTTCTCACCACCGGAAGTAAGAACAAACCATAATAAGCGTAGCGTTCATGGGTGGTCTGTTTCATAGCACTACTACACAATTTGTTAAAAAGGAAAGAAAGGTATTTAGCATCACGGCACAACAACTTTTACAGGCCAACAACGACAACGTGCTGCAACCACCAGAACTGGTATCACAACTCATAGGGAAAATCAAAAGATTTACTCTCAAATTAAGTAGTTACAACATCGAGCAATCGTCAAGCACATACACCATCACAAAGGTCACGAAACCTGATTCACAAAGCATTCAAACATTTGAGGACATTTCTGCAAAGGTACAACTTATATGTCTTTTTTCCAAGCGATTTCCATCAAGATGCTAATAAATTTGCAATGCATAAAACAAACGGGCCAAAACTTGAAATTCAGCCTGTTTGACCGACCCATGCCAAATTCTAATTATTCTTTATTTTTAAACTTTCTATTTGAAAATAAAAAATAGTGAAAGAAAAAAGACAACTACAATTCGCCATTTTCACATCACTTATTCGGGAATAAAACCATATAAATTCAAAAGGAACTGAAAATGTTTAGGATCGTTTTAATGTTTAAAATAACCAAATAGATCTTTATGTTTAATTTTTTACTAACAAATACCAAACGATTCCCTATAAAATACACTATAATTTGATCATTATGATATCAAATAATTATAAAATACATATTTGAAATGATAAAAATTGGACTAATTGGGTTGGTCGAGGTTGAATCATTGAATAACTTTAAAATACATTATATTTTAGCCACTAAGATCTATATATTATGCCAGAGAAAATAGTTTGTTTTAGAATGACAAACCAATGATGTTCATTTGTTTTACTTGATGGCCAAATCTCATGTAAGTCAGACCGATTCAACTCTTTTATTTTATGGTTAGCGGTTAGCCCATTAGATACCATGCATTAGTTTATTGTTAAATTTTTTATTTTTAACAATAAAAAGGAGTATTATTTTTGCCTTTTCATATATATTTTATCACCACGGAGAAATAAAAGGGCTTAAAGAAAATAATTGACACTCCTAGACCCGTTTAAATTCGCATGTGTACGGTAAGTTGGCCCGTTCCACAAAGGAAAGAGAAAAAAATTGACACTCCCTATTCTACCCTTCCTACAAACGCTCTTGGAGCAATGATTTTTTCCTCCCTGCTATTATATGTTTTTAATTTAAAAACATACAACAAATGTACTTAGTGTGATTGGTTATTATCCTTGCTTTTTTTTAAATGGTCATAGTTCGAATCCCAATACGTATCTTTTTAATGAATAAAAAAAAGTAATTGTGAAGACCAAAATGTCCTTCCTACAAACGCTCTGAGCGTCGGAAATTTGAAATGATGCTTGGGTTTTTGGCTTCCAGCTTTTATAAACTGAACTTCTATTTAACGCCCTACAAATTCGAAATTATCGCCCTAAACTGACTGCACGGACAAATTTGCCCCTGAACAAAAACCCTTCCTTCTTCATCCTTCCCCATCGTTGACCCATATGCTTCCCCTTCTTTCCTCCAGCAGTCAACTACCGCCGCCGCCCTCTGCTCCGGCGAAACTCATCCGCCGCCACCTCTGCTCTGCCGCCCTGAACGATCCGCCGCCCTGAACGAAATTGACCCTTCCCCTTCATTCTTCCCCATCTTCGATTCATCCCCTTCCCCTTCTTTCCGCCAGAAATCGACTACCATCGCCGCCAACTGCTCTGTCGAATCTCAACCGCCGCAAACTCACCTTTGCTGCGTTATAGATGTCGGCCCGCCACCTCTGATCCGCCGCTGCAAAAATAAAATCAGTCGCTTCCACCATCAACTCAACTCCCTCTGCCGCTGTCTAGAGAAGGAATGAAGAAGAACAAGCAAACTGAACAATTGTTGATTGGTTGCGGGTCGTACTTGGCTGCGGGCCAAGTTCCGGTTGTGGATTGGAATGCAGGGCGAAGCAGAACCCAGTAAAAGCAGAGGTGTGTGGCTGCGGCATTAGACGTGGCCGACGAGGCGCAGCAGAAGGCCTGCGGAGGTGACGGGCAAAGAATCCTAGGGCGAGAACGGCGGGGACGGCGAAGAATTCCAGGGCGAACGATGACAACGAGCGAGAATTATTAGGGCGAAACTTGGTTAGGGATTGAGAATAAATTGTGGGCAAAATTGTCAAATTGAGTAATTTTAGGGCGACAAATTTAAAAAGTTAGGGCGTTAATTAGTAGCTCCCTTTATAAAAGGTGTAGATCACTACAGAAAATCATAACCCTTTCTCCTCAGCACTGCCAAATTACAATATACTATTACCAGGCACAAAAACATATTGGCGTTGGGTAATTGGGTTAACAATCTCTACTCTCCTAACATGGAAAATGCCTTCACTGATTTCTCATCTTCCTACTTTACCACTTTTTACAAAATGATGGTCACCCTTCCCTATGTAATTGATTCAAGAAACATATATGTATATCAAACCCAATACCAAACAAACTATATATGGCAATGTCATCTAGCCAGCTCTTTCGAGATCAGGTACCGGAAACTGAAGTTATGTGGCATCCATTCGATGATCTTGCGAGGTTTTCCTAGCTGGCATTTCCTGACACATTTCCTCAGAGAATCCGGCAGAGACCCTTGAATCATTTCGACTACAGCGGACTGACTTAGACCCGAGTCCTTTGCAAAAGTTTCGACGATCTTTGGAAGTAGGATCCTTTGGTCCTTTCGTACCCCAAATGTAGCTCGAATGTACTCGTCTTTTGCTGCTTCCAGCTCTTGATATACAGCCTTTGGCGTGTAGGCGCGTACCTGAATCAAGTGACCAGAAAGAACATCAAGATTTTGTTTCTTGTGATGAACTCAACTCTCAAGCAGCAAGTTAAAAAGTTAGCTTCTTCGAACGAATGGCCTACCGCAGGGTCAGAATGGCTACCCGAGCTGAGTGCAAAATGCAAGAGGGGTTCCGGGTGATCAATTGTGTAGCCTTGCCTTTCATCTCCCAACTTGAATTTGGATCTTGAAGGGATCAGTAATCTAATCCACTGTGATTCAAAAAGACAGAACAGGTTTTAGCCTCACAAGACGAACATCAAGGTTGTCATATTAAAACAATTGAGAGGAAAATGGAAGGTCTCAAATGTACCTGGCCAGGACGAGACATCCGGCATTGAAGGATGTTGCTCTGAATCATGTCTGCACTGATCGTATGGCCGCCAACATTATAAGCAGCCTGAAGAAAGCAAAGGTGTAAGAGCCAATAAAACAAATAACTCACTGAAGTTTTTTCCAGTTGATGAAAATGAATATTTACCTTTAACAGAAGGAAGAGTCTCTTGACATTGTTCTGTGGAATACCATATGCAAGGAACGCCTAATAGCCAGGGGAAAAAACAGTAAGGTCCACTGCAACTTAGCCAGGGAGTACAACTCAAAAGGTAGTTTAGGAGAGAGAACATTACATGCATCACTAGAGAATTATGAACATTGATCCAGAAAGCGAGCTTCTCTTCATGTTTCAGCTTCCTTGGGTCAACTCCCTCCAATCTACAAATCAGTGATCTATAGAAAATAGTTCCTCAATAAGGTTAGAAAGAGATCACATGACAACACGATGTTCGAACTTTCTGGCACTTTCTATACCTGAAATTCTGCAGCAAGGACTCGACATCTCCCAGCTTCTGATTATCTCTATAAATCCAGGGCACTTCAACCATCATACTGTACGGTCCACTGAACTCCTTCAGTCCCTCGACAAGGAACGGGTTCTCTAGCCGTATGTCGAAGGATGAAGAATTGGTCATGAAGCCAGGACTCCACATATCACATTGCTCTTGTGGAGAAAAAGCACTCATTGAAGACAATGACGATACTGGAGATGACAAGCCGTTATTTGTCACCGGTGGGTCCGAAAGCTTGCAGTATATGGCAGACATGCAACGAATCATATCCTCGGAAAGCTTGTTAGGAGTGTCATTCACATGATCAGAGATTCTTGTCCCAAGATGTTCTGCCAAACTGATAACGTTTGTTGCATTTTGCGCAAACTACAGCACAGGATAGCAGCCAGCAGGGAATTAGATTTCATACTAGGATCAATCGGGTAGTTAGGTAAAAGGGATGGAAATAAAGCTAGATACCTCCATCATGGACAAAGGCTGTGAGTGACAAGCACGAACGTCTCTTCCCAAAGACGAATCTGCTTCTAGAGGAGAAAGTCTAGCAGGAAATGCTGAGCATTGTGAGAGAGAGGATTGACAACGTTGGATGCTGGAGTCTAATAATAGTTTTTCCTTTGATGGCTTTTCCTGTGATTGAAGTGTTAAATTTTCTCTAGTAGACATGACATTGGGTCTCGGGGGGACATCCTGGAATCTGAGCCTTGGAGTAGTAACAACTGATTTGGACCTTTCTTCCCTGCTGGATGGAGACACTGAAGATGTTTGTTGATCAAATGCTTTCCTGTACAATGAGAGGAGGTACTGTTCCAAATACACAACTTCAAGCTCTAGCACTGCTATTTCCTTTATCAGTTCTGTGGCTGGCTGCAGTTACAGAGAGCACAGCCCAAAGAAGAAAAAATGTCAAAAGATCAACTTCACCATGGAAGTATGTCTAGAACCAGGAAATAGGAAACTGAGGTGTTACCTTGGGCATTAAGTCTTCAGGTACCCCCCCAAGGGAGGCGGTCCGGTAACCCAACGCCTTCTCCAGAGCACCACGAACCTGGAATTGGTCTTGTAATCTTTTCTCAAGTTGCAGAATCTGCAACCACCGATAGTTGATGAATAAGTTGAACAAGAGGCAAGAAATGATTCAATTAGTTTCAGAAAATGAAGGTTTGAGTCAAAGACCTCTTGCTTCAAAGAACTTTGAGCTTCAACTTTTGGGGATTGTTTCCTCTTGCTTTTGACAGAGTCCTTCAGGTGTCCCATATCCTGTGCATTACACATCAAACAATTACATCCATTACACATCAAACAAGAATGTGTAGCTATCCACAATCTGAATCAGAGCCAAGGAGGAAGATTAGATGCCTTGCTTTATTTGCCAGTACTTCATAAAACATGGGGGTAAATTAGCTAGCACAAGCAAAACCCTCAACAACATTACTAATGCCAATATTCAGAAAGCAGTTCTTTTAAAAGGAAAACCCTAAAGATCACAAAGCACTTACAAGCTTGCTACGGTGTGAAGCTCCAAGAGAACTATCTCGTCCATCTTCTTCCAATCCTTTCTTGTCAGGGAAGCTGCTACAAATGAAACACCAAAAAAACAGTAGAACAACAATTATGCATTGTCCCTACAATTTGACTTCTCCAGCAAATTACACACCAGAAGAAAAAAAAAAAAAAGGAGGAAGAACAAGTCTAAATTTAACAGCTACCTTCTAACAGAGGTCCATTTAGCAAACAATTTCCGAAAACCCATCATCCTAAAACTGTTCTCATTTGCTACCCACGACCAACGGTAGCTCATTGCTAACAGAAATATATATCAGAGAGAAGGCCTCGTTGAAAGATGATAAGAAGCCCACCACTTTCACTGGAGGGGAGTGTTCGTTTGTTGTTGTCAAAATGCCATAAAAGAACAGAGAAAAACCTTTGCCCCACTTTGCTACAATGGCTAAAAAACCCTCCAAAAGCTCGGACCACAAGCACTACAGCCAAAAACAAACATGTTGTAACCATGATGGTACCGCATTATTCTCCTTGTTCTCACTCGCACGCCAAAAACCCCATTATTCGTTCGGCAGCATATGCATAACCAGCTAAAATGCTTCCAAACAAGTCTACCTCAGAAATCCCTCCCACCCACTTAAGCAAGGGAAATTGGGGAATATAGCTATTGCTCACCTCTTTGAACGCTTGTGACCACAATCAACCACTCTTCCTCCCGCCATTTTCCTCTCTTTGCCGCTTTCTTCGAAACCCATCTGCCCAAAATCCAAATACCCACCAAAAATTGAGACAGCTAACAGAAGATCGCTGCATTGATGAGAGAGAGAGAGAGAGAGAGAGGAAAGGGGAAAACCAGTATGAAAGTTACCACTTACCATTACACTTCCAAAGCTCGGGTCTTTTTCCCAGAGAGACAACGACACAGATTGTGTGGACAGCTTATAATGGCAAACACGCCAAATGGGATTCACGGGTAAGGCTTTAATTAGGGTCCAAAAACTTGGGTACTAGTTTTCATCGGTACCCAGAGAAGAACTGAAAGAAGTAATCAGTGAGGTAAAGGTGGGGATTGGGGAAGGAAAAAGGGCTCATCTTTCAGCTGCCACAAAATTTATTTTTCACAATGAAAGTAAACAAAAGATGGAGGCTTTTGACCGGGGGAGAGATGAAATAGAAAGAAAAGAAATTCAACTCGGATGATGCTCTCCTTCTTTTTCTCTATACAGATAAACCAGCTTTCCCTTTTCTTCTCCTCCTGTGTTTTTTGCTTGGCATCAAACCATGAAGAACAAGTTTAGGTGTGGCCTCGTGTGCCCCTTTTAATTGCCAAGACTTTGCCCTTTTGCTTTGCTTGGAGAGACGTAGGAGTGTAGAGTAGACCCCCTAAAAGGTCAAAATGTACAAGAAAGAAAGAAAAGGGGGGAAGATGGAAAAGTGACGACCTACAGAGAGCTAAATAGTAGTACTAGTTGGCAGTTGCTATAACAATGGCTACCACAATAATCCTGTTAAGAAGAAAGAAAAGAGAAATAAATTTCAGTAATCCAGTCAAAGCCTAAATTGCAAGTTTGGTCACTTGATTTGAATTACTAAGTAAAGTTTACGTTAGCCACTAAAATTACTTTATTTCATCCGTAGTCACTTAGATTAGATTAACAGTTCAAGTTTGATCACTGGCCATTAGTTATGTTAACTTTTGCTTATGTGGCGGTCAACTTTTATAGTTGACCGCCGGTGGCCGATTCAGAAGAACAAGACCCAACCTATCTTCTCAACCAAATGTCGTTGCCGTCGACAAACAAGAATCAATCACTGCCACAACCAGTCCCAAGATCGGTAACATCACTTTCAATGAACATACATACCACCGCTGTCGAGAACTTTGTTGCCTTCCCATTTCGAGCTCCTAGAACGTTGTTTGTGATTTTTTTTTGTTTTAATTATTTCTAATTTATTATATTTCTAATTTTCACGTCACTCATTTAATTAACAGTAAACTATAAGAGTTGACCGTTACATCAACAAAAGTTAACGGAGACTAACGGCCAGTGACCAAACTTGAACTGTTAACCTAATTTTAAGTGACTACGGATGAAATAAAGTAATTCTAGTGGCTAACGTGAACTTTACTAGTAATTTAAGTGACCAAACTTGCAATTTAGCCCAAGTCCGAAGGTCTAAACCCAAGTTTCATATTCATTTCCTTTCATATTTTCTAAGTGTTGGGAGGCAAGTGGTGGGAGCTGGTGACCTTCTCCTTCAACTCTTTGTTCCCATCGTCTTTCTTATTTTTGAATGGCAAAAAAATTGCAGCATCTATGGGCACCATTTTAATGTAGAGAAGTTATTGTATTTGTATACACCTCAAAGGTGCAAAACTTATTTATGTAGGGTTGATTATTAAATGTATTGTATTGAAGGGCCAATAATTGGGCAATGCAAAATTCAAGCGTTAGTTAGTTGCTTTTTTTAACAAGTAGTTAGTTTCAGTTTTATGTACAAAATTTGGATAGTGAGATTAGGACGAGAAAAAATAAGTATAAATTGACTCAATCAGCATTCGAATTATTTTCGAATTGATGTGGAGTTCAAATAGATTTAGATTCTATAGATTAATGTCTTTGTTTAAATTTTACTATATCCATAAAATAACAAATTGAGTTGAAATAAGATATAATCAAATGAATATCGAATATTTTGTACTCGGATTTTGATACCCGTTTTTCTTAATCTAATTGATCCTAGATCGATTTGGAATATTTACCAAATTCTCTTAATCCCACTTACCCCACTAATGATCTACTTTGTGAGGTAATGAAAGTGTATCTTCTCTTCCAAGGGCAATAAGGATTGTGGGCCTTAATTAATAGCAATTAGTTTCTTCCCTACACTCCATTAGGTTTTTTCCTTTTCCTCTCGAGCAAGGAAAAATCATAGTGATTGTGAATGCTTCCAAATACAACGGGATTAAGTTATAGCATGGACCAAGGCCAAAAAAGTGCAAAAGGGAATGAAAAGAAGGAAGAGGAAAAAACATAAATGTCCAAATGGTAACCTGCTCAAGGGGATCTTTAGAAAGAAACACAAATAAAGCCTTAGACCTCAAAAAAGAAAAGGCTTAAAATTGAAAGATTCAGCCTCGAAAGGGATGAAAGGGGATAACTGTGAGACATCGGATGCTAGATTGCTAGTAAGAAGTAAGAACAGAAGAAGGAAAACAGTGGAGGGGTGTTTTTTTCTCTTTTGTCTTAATAGTCGTCTCATTGCCCTATTCTTCTTTATGTTCGGTTGGGAAAACATAACTCTAAGGACTATTAGCTAATAGCATAGGCCATAAGAAGATGCCTCATATTTGTCTTTAGGTATCCGGTATCCAGGAAACCAATCCTTGTCAAAGAATCATCTCATAATTAAGGTTGTTAAACCCATATCGAATCCCTAGTTGGGCCCAGTCCGATCTGAGTCGGGCTTCAAAACAGTCTCCAGAAAGCCCTTCTGTCTAACCTCTAAAGAGGGAGAAGAAGAGAGGAAGAGACACTAAGGAAGGGAGACGGTGGGCGAGCCATATATGTAAGATAAATTTTATTTCAGCCATTAAATATTTAATTACTACCTTATTTGTATATATATTTAGAAAACGTCTAAACGGCTCAAACCGGACGGACCTTGATCAGACCATTAAACCTCAAACCCCTTACTTGACCGGCTCAATGACTTAACCGGTTTGACAACCTTGCTCATAATTGTTCCAATGGTCTTACCCTTTCACAATAGGCTACACCAATATAAATATAAAGGAAAGGTTGCGGAAATCGGTGGGATTCTAGCAACATTGAGGTACATTGCTTTTCCCTACTACTTTGCTTGGGTCAATAAGGGGACATTTGAATGTGCATTGTACATTAAAATTTCCAAATTTTTTTCAATAATGCTACACTCCCCTTCGCAATTTCAAGCTCATCTTAAATGGATAGCTAGTCTCTGTGCTGATATGTGATCAAAGGAGGCTAGTATAGTGGCTATGAAAGATTTCATCATCATGAGACTAAAGACCATTTAAAATGTCTGAATACAATGTCTGTCACTATCCTTCGTGACCTTTTTTAAGCTTCTCCAATGAGTCTTACTACTTTTAAAATTTTTTCAACGGGGTGAACTATATCTTTATACATGAGAAAATCCTACATGCCAAGGGAATAAAGAAAATCGCCTTAATAAGAAAAAATGCCACTTGTGTCCTATTGTATAAAATATTACATTCATGTCTTCAACTATGATACTTTGTGTTATTTGTATCCTGTCAATTTCTTTGACCATTAAAGATAACGGTTGACCAAACGATGGTCAACGTGAAGTTGACTTTTGTTGACGTGCCAAAAAATGTGGCAGCCACATAGATGCCACGTCATTGACACCTCATATTTTATATTCAAAATTAAATAAAAATAATATTAAAAAACTCAAAAAATGTACACTCAACATTAATGAAAATTTTGACTTTGCACTTTGCACTTTCCCTTTCTTCTTCTTCCTCTGTCAATCAAAATGACCACCGGAGAAGCATAGATCTGGTCTCTGTTTGGTCCAAGGCGGTGGGCGCATCTGTTGATCCACGCAGAGGTAGGAGATTCGAAGATCGACGTGGAAGTGAAGAAGCAGAGACGATTCAGCAATAGTTGGTGGCGGCCAGAGAAGAGAGACAGTTTCATGGCTGAGAAAGTGACAAAATCGGATCTGTATTTTTTGGGTTCTTGTCGATATGTATTCGTCCCAATTACCCATCAATTCACCGTCATATTTCGTGAAATAAGCTTTCTCCTCTTCCTTCTTCAGAAGACAAGAAAAACTAATTTGGCTTTGAGGAGGCTGGCCACGCCGATGGCCATTGGCGTTGATCTGGAGATTTACCGTTCGCTCGCGACATTAAACGGAAATAGTTGGCGCCTGGCGAGTTTTCGACCCCCCTCTCCTTTCCACTCACCCAGAAACAGAGCAACCCAACTTTCAACCAAACCCACCAATTTTAAGAAACTGAGCATATCCACGAAACTTCCAGTTCACCCATTCTTAATTTCGTCGCCGCTCTGAACAGGGTAATGGGTTTCATCGACAATGGCGACACAATGGAGGAGGGTTTCACCAGCGATGTTGAAGATCCGGCAGCGACGGAGCGGCCACGGAATTGGAATCACCGGCAGCGGCGGCGAATAGGAGATCTGAATGACCATGGTGATGAAAATGTATGCGATGGAGCCGTAAGGGTTGAAGTTGAGCGAGGAGAGGGCAGGGTCGGCGGCCGCGAAGTGGGAGTATTGTGGTGGTGGCGGATTGGGTCAGGTAAGCAGAAGGGGCGGAGCAAGCTCGAGAGGGGGATTGGGTAGATGAGATTAGGAATATTTATTTTTTTGCTTTTTGAATTGTTATTTAATTATTTAAAAATAACACATCAGACGTCACGTCAACACTGACTGGATTTTCTGTTAAATACTAATAGTCAACGCCAGTCAACATTAACAGAATAATAGTTCAGGACAGAAATGGAATATTGAAAAGAATATGACAAAAGTGGCATTTTTGTCATAGTTCGGGTGTTGTAGTGGTATTAGCCCATGAATAAAGGGTGGGGTTAAAGTGTGCCAACTTATGACGCAATCACTCATTGCACATGGGAGAAACCGGAAAGGTCCAATTCAACATCGGTTCACGGTCTAGTACAATCCCTCGTCGACTGAAGTGTCATTTGAGAGTTGTGTTAGAGGGCACAAATAGAGCTTTTGACATCCCTCTATAGCATTGTCACTCCACACATATTGATGATTATGGGTTAAATGACACCCTTAAATGAGTGCTAAGATGCGTAAATTGCTCTTACTCGATCACGATGGCTATGTATAAAAGTGCAAAGCAAAAACTTACTTGTGTTAAAAGTGCAAATTTGACATGCAATTCAAAAGAGAGAACAATACATGTCGTTGTCAAACAAGGGTAGAGAAGTGCATAAAATTTAAACAACGTTGTGAAAAGCATCACTCAGTGTGTTTTTTAGACTCTCGAGTTGAGTTAATTACTCGTGTTGAATTGAGTTTGGCTAGAGATTGTCCTTACGAGATGTGTACCTCTCTAACGTGGTTTAGTTCTCTAAGCACGTGGGTTGACTTTGTAAGCTACTTGTAAATTATCATCCACTACCTACGATCAAAATTTACGTGTCATCGTAGAGGTCCATTGAGTTGTATGATTTTGAGTTCGGTTTGCTTGGGGATAAGCAAAATTCAAGTGTGGGGTTATTTTGATGACATGTATTATACTATTTTAGGTCCCTATTTAATAACATGTTTTGCATGATTGTCATATCTTTAGTGTCATGTTAAAGTGGAATTTCTTAATGAATGCTAAAGGTATGCTTAGTAGCTCCTATGATTACTTTTACTAATATAATACACTTTGGATAGTATTTGTTGTGTTTCAGGCCGAATTATCCTAGTGGACCACCTTGTACGAGTGGC